AGAGGATTCTAGGATCCAGAGGCAATTTCAGATTAGCTGATTGCATCACACACTAAGCTTTGTCTGAATTTCAGTGTTAGCCGGAAGGAACTCTGCAGCCTACTTTTGGGTGTCTAACTTAGTCATGCCAAGGGCACTTAGCTAGTCCAGTTCAACAAAACGTGCCAGGCCCTGTGCTAGATGTTAGGGACCCAAAGCAATCAAGAGAGACTTCTTAAAGAGTGTGGTGCACTCTCACTTTATCTTTTCAAGAAGGCAGCACAGCACAGCAGACGAGCAGCTCCTCACTTAGGGCCACTGAGGCACAGAAACTCTTAGAGCCCCAGCTTCTGCCTCTATGGCACAGAGCTAACAATTTCTAACTATTCCTGATAATTTCTAATTATCAATGGAAAGCTGTGAGCTCTTAAATCAAGCGCCTGCACGTGGTAGGCACTCAGGAATTACTAGCTTCCTCTCTGCATTCCCATCTCTCTTCCTTCTTGGTTTTTTCTGGGAAACATGGATATGGGGAGAAATTATGAGGCTATTTGCTTTGAAAGTCTGTGCTTTTGTGACATCAAAATTATGTATACAGTACTCTCTGGCACTGTTAGAGCAAGTAACTAGTTGACTAAGCTCTCATTTTTTTAAAACAAATTTTATGTTCTTTTGTATTGTATTTTATATTGTGTGAACTAAAGACAGAACCTTCGACAAATGCTAAGGAATCACAGAGGGCTGGGGGATGGCTGGAAGGAGGATCACGAACATTTCAGATTTGATTCTTTTCTCTATGATTTGCCTGGGGATTTAATTGCAAAAGCAGCTGGCATGAGAGTGGGTGCCAGAGGTAAGGGAAGGAAAAGAAGGGCAATCCTGACTCCCAAGTAATGGTCAAGATATGCAGTTCAACAGGAGAAACAAGGGACCAAGGCTGCTGGTGGCTGTCCTGGGAGGCCATACCTGTGCAACGGGGACAAGGACAAACAGAATGACTGCATGGTGCGTGATCATGAGGCGGTTTTTACTTAGGAAGTTCTGAAAAGTTGTGAGGGAATGTCTGTGGTTCTGGTCTCTGGTTCGGTACCATTCACAGAGGTACATGGCGTAGGTGTCATAGATCATGTATGGAACCAAAAACCAGATATATTCTCGGGCAAGCCAGTGCCTGAAAGAAAGCATATGAAAGGTCCATGGAATAATTATGGATAGCAACTATGAAGGCTCAAAGTCAGCCTCTTCTCAAACACATTCCCTTCAGCTTTGTACTTAGCCATTTTTACTCCAAATACTTTACCATGAAGATGCTGAAACTGATAAATAAGGAGAGTGAACAACTTTCTCTAAATTACAGGGCAAATTCAGGAGTGCCAAAGGCAGAAAGCAGGTGTCCACTCGGCCCCACATGTTTAGGTGACCAGCTGTTCTATTTGCCTGATTTAGCTACTCATTTGTAATGGACTTTCCAACATTTTGTGGTAGAAGCTGACTTTGGGATAGATACCTCTACCAATGATTCAACAGCCCCGCCAAGAAACTGGTTTAGAAGGTGTCCCAAATCCCATATTTCCAGTTTAACTCCACTCAGTTGCTCAATAGTTAGGAGTTTCCTCTTGCATCTGCTTGCAACCCACTCTCGGGAGTTCCTGGGAAGGAAACCGGTCGTTTTCTTTACCATTCTATGGCTAATCCCAATTCTATTCATTACGAAAAATTTGTCTGGAAATGAGCCCAGAGCCCAAGGACTACCTTACAGCAGTCAGATACCAAAAGAGAAGCTGGGACAAGAGACACTAATCCCATTTACTTGTCCAAAGGGGTTGAATCAATATTTGCTGAGTTGAAATGATAGTTTATCACTGTCCTAGAACAGATTAGAGGGAAAGTCTATAATTTCCACATTTTGTTCCCAAATGATCATAATTCTACAGAAAATTTATGTGAAAAAATCTAAATTGAAACCATGTACTACGCTGAGAAGGATTAGATTCACTAAGTCAGCAAGTTTTTATTGAGTACCCATGTGTTAGGTAGAAGAAAAAATTTATGGTTCTTACACTAATTGGACATCAGAATCATCTGCAGTGTCTGTTAAGGGCTCCACTCCCCAGCGACTATAAATGGTACGCCTAGGGCCCTCGAATCTGTATTTCTAACTTTGTCTCAGACGACCTCCTAAGGGGCCAGTCCACTAAACTCCAACATTGGGAATATACTCTGTGAGGGTGCCAGTCAAGTTTCTGTTCCTGAGTGAGTCCACCCTTCCCACAGCATAACTAAATAATGCATAAACGATGAAACATGCAAACAAGTAAGTAATGGCAAATATAATATACAGGCAGGTAAGTTGATTAACCAAGTTCCATTTAGACAAAAAAGATGCACTACTTATTCTACTGCCTATCTATGGTCTCCAGTACTTTCTTGAAGCAATTCCAAGTAAAATAACTATGAAGAGCCACTAAAAAGCTCAGCTGCAATATGACTGGCCTCTCCCCTTGCGTGGAGCCTAGGGTTTTAATATTTTGCACACAGTACGAATTCAGTAAGATCTGAAACTGCGATTGTTAGGTGGAATTCTCTGAAGATTTATTAGCAAGAGATCTGGATTAGAATCTTAACTACCACTGGCCTGGAACTTAGCTTTCTTTATAAAATGAAGATGCTAATCCTTGACTTACTTCCCTGACAAAGTTATTGCGAAGATTAAAAAACTACAAGTGTCACAGTCATTTTAAACATAAAAAGTACTATCCAAATTTAAGTGCCTAAATTGAGAAAACTGCCTAGAGCTGCGACTCTTAGCCCTTTAGGGATCTGGACCTCTTTAAGAATAGGATGAAATCCTTGGCCCCACAACACATTCTGCATATACCTTGGGGGGGGGGGGGTTATAGATACTCCCTTCTATCTACAGACATTCTATATGAAGGCATAAAATGAAAAGGCGTATAATAGAAAAATACTTGGGTATACAGTATATGAGCCCCAAAAGGCCCCTTTTTAGACCATCTAGATGCCTTTAGAGCATCCTTGTACATCCATGTAAAGGTAGAGGGCACAGAAATGTGTCCGTCTCCATTTTGCAAGCAGACAATCTCAGGCATAAAGATAGACAAGAGGAGGAACCTGAAAACCAAACTCAGGTTTGCTGCTATGCTCAAGCCTCTGACACACGGCTTCTGAGGGGAAAACAAGAATGGGGCTATAGAACTGGAAGTGACTCGTATGCAGACATCTTTTTCTGAAATGTGTAGTGGCTGTCTGCTGCTTGCCCTCACGTCAGCTAGAGCTAGTGCCACGGGGCTGCCTTTGTCTTAGTTTCATCTTTGCAAAGGAGTCTGGTTTCAAGTTTGATCTGACAAACTTGGGGCAGTGAGGGAGCTTGCTGCATGATCAGAAAATGCTCAATTAAAATAAAAATTGAGCCCAGCCAAGCAAACACCATTAGCCTTTGGTGTTTACAATCAAGGTCACTTAACCTGTCTTCTCTCAGCATCTACAATTCATCGTCAATAACTGGTTTTGTGTAAAAAGAATCATAAGAAGAGAAGCATAAACATCATGGTGGCCGGATTAATCCCAAGTAAGATCCTGATACTACACTGGCAGGTCACAGTGAGACAGATGCCCCGCTCAGGCTCCTCTCCCATTCCAGTCTCAACAGGTGTAAAGCAGGACACTTTGCAGAGTCAACAGGAGAATAGGACCAGAAAGGCCGCTAGACCTTCCCTGCACATTTGATGATGGCTCTGCAACGTCACTGAGAGAAAGCAAGGGTGGTTCTAGGGAGACAGGTGATAAGGATGGCTTTAAAAAAAAAGCACCACCACTGCCCAGCTCTGAATACTATACAAAGTAGACCACTCTGGTCTTTGATTTGTTTCAGTAGATGCACATTTCCTGACCTGTCTTCTGGACTGAGCTCTAATACACATACAAGTCAGTTTTCTAAGAGCGCCAGAAACCTCTTCATTGCTCTTACCAAATCCAGAGGAAAGATAAGAGCAGCATTTGCAAGGAAAGCGGTGGTGGATTTGTTCCTTTCCATGGAAGGGCTCTGCTGACCACACTGGACATATCTTGGCCAATGAATGCTCCGGAGCAGGACCCAGGGAGGTCACCCAAAGAAACCAAAAGCCATACTCCCACTTTTGAATAATTTTCACACTTGTCTAACTCATAAAGAACTGGGATCAATGGACCACACTGTCCTCTAATACCTCAGATTAGACTTAGATTCTGCCATTTTCTAGCATTTCTTCAGTTTACTTTCTCCTAAGCTGGCTATGCTCAAAGAGGTAAAGAGAGGAGGAGGAGACTAATTAGAGCGCCCGAGTTTTCCCATTTATCAGCCAGCTACCTAAGAGCGTGTGCATGCCTGCGAATCACTAAAAGGTGGAAACTTAGAAAAAGTTTGGCGCTGTTATTTGTGCTGCTTTCACCTGGCACTGGATGTTACCTGTCGGTGATCACGTCGCTACAGGAGCGGATGATGATGATCCCTGACCCGGTGGCCAACACAGCCTGGACTGAAGAAACCAGCCTAAGGAGCGGCAGAAAAGAAAAAAAGGGAGGGAAGGGGAGCGCGCTCAATCTAGTCCTGCGGACAGTGTAAAGCCCAACTCCTCAACCTGACTTGCCCCTAGGCTGCCAGTGCGGTGAGGAAAATGGTAGGGCCGCCGCCGCGCCCCCGACCCCCAAAGCAGCTGGCGGACGTCGGTAGGAGGCTTCCCTGCCCATCCCGACCCGCGTGGGCAGCCCTCCACCCTCCCTTCTCCCTCCAGGGCAGGTCGCGCAGGGTCTTCGGAGAGCTCTGGCCAGCGCCACAGAGAGGGGCAAGGACCAGGGAGGCAGCCCCCTCGCTTCCTGTCGCCCCCCTTTTCCGCCCTCAGCTCGGCGCAGGGGCGGGCGCAGGCGGGGCGGGTGGCCGGGCAGCCTGCGCGCGGCGGGGTGGGGCGGCCGGCGCCGGCCTCGCCCCGTACCTGGTGCTGATCATCACGCAGTCGGTGTCGGTCCATTCGGGCCGCGCGCGGCGCAGCCCCCAGGTGCAGAGCGCGAAGAGCCCGGGGAAGAAGAGTGCGCCCCAGGTCAGCGTCAGCAGCATGGGTGCGCGGGGGTCGGCGCCTCGCTCGGCGCCCTCGGCGTGGCACAGGTTGGCTCCTCGCGGCTCCGAGACTGGCGCGGCCCGCCCGCCCTTATCTCTACCCTCCACCCTCCACCCTCCACCCTCCACCCCCGCCCCGGCCCCGGCCCGCCGCGACTCCGGCAGCCGCCGGGCTCTGGCCCCGAGCCCGCAGCGCCACTCTCCGCGTGACCAGGCCGGCGGCCGCGATAGGCGCGGGCCGGCCGGGCGGGGCGGGGTCTCGCCGCCGCCGCCCCTGGGCCCGGAGGCTTCCCTGGGTTGCCCCGGGCGGCCGGCCGGCGAGGGAATGCGCGGCGGCGGCGAGCTGCTGCCCCGGCCTGGAGCCGCGGGGCGCGCGGTCCCGTGTGTGGGTTCCGAGCGCCCGGACGCTGCGCCCCGGACGGGCGGCGCGCGTGTGGCCGCAGCCGGGCCCAGGCAGTGGCGGGAAGGGCCGAGGTCTCGGGGCTTCTGTTCCGTCACCGCAAACGCTTCCCCCTCCGTCGGGGACCAGCCCGGCAGACGAAATGCCCCGCACCTGCCCCTAGCGCCCTTCTCCTCCCCAGCCCCGGGCGAAGGGGGCAGGGTCGGGAGGAGGGCCCCAGAAGCTCAGGTAGGAAAACACACTCGATCGAGACCCCTACCCCCAAGGCGAGCGCTCCGCACAGGGTGCAGTGGGCATCTCTCTTTGGGGGAAGGAAAGAGAGGGTGGGTGGGCTTTTAGCCATCTGCCCGCCTGGCTTATGTACCAAGCACACTTGCTTCCAAACAGAAGTCTTAAGAAAATGATCTTTCTGCAGGCCAGAGATGGCTTTTCTATGCCCTGCCAACTGCTGCAATTTCTCCAGAGGGGGGTCGCTCTGAAAAACATTAAATCCTGCCGCAGAATCCTCTCTCCATCTACACATCGAGGTGGAATATCAAGTCTGAAGACTTTCTGTGCTACTGCGTCTCGGCTTTGGGTCAAGATACTATCCAGAGTCTTGGTGACTATTTTGTTGTTGTCGACAACGTGTTCTTATTTAAAACTTATTGGGCCATGTGCCCTAAAATTGAGTGACTTGGGATGGATCTCATTTTCACTCAGCGCCAGTCATACGGGCCAATACAGTACCTTCAGTATTACTGGCTTCTCCCCCTCTTGGGACTTCCTAAAGTTTTACTTTACTTTGATCTGTATCTTCATCAGCTACCAAACGTTGGGGAAAATACAATTCATTTATGTCCACTGCAACTGAAAGGTACTATGGTTCTCTTGAAATCAACATCATGCAAAATGCTCACCACAGCCCCCTAGGAGGACTCTGGGCTCAGCCTGTCTGGGCCAGTTTCCTCACCTGTGAAATGAGGAAGGGCTGGATTACAAGCTCTTTAAGCTTCTTGCAGCTCTAAATTCTATGACTTTTATAAGGTAACAGATGATTTCTGTTAGATGCCAATTAAATTTCTCTGACATGGCAGTTACTGGTGTAGAAACAGAGAATAAATACAGCTTTTAACATCTCCTTAAATGTTCTCGAGGGATTTAGCTGCCATCAAAGAAGCAGAAAGCCCAAAGAAAAGCCTGAAATTTCTTCCACTTAGGGAAACATCTCTGACTCCTAAATTCACTGCTAACGTATTTGGTGAAATGAGAAAGACACTTCAGTTTGGTAGCAAGGTATCCAGCAAATAGAAAGCTTTCTGTATTTTCACATTTGCAAGTGGACCAAGGACAGCTATCTGTAAACTTTCCATTCTCTCCAGAAGAACAAATCCTTGTCACCTCCATTTATCCTAGTGACCTCCAGCTGCAGCTTTTCTAGAGAGGGACAAGTGGTGACAAGTCCTCCCTGCCTTCTCTCCTTAAAGGGATCGGCAACACGCACCAACGATATTAACACTTTTTTTTTCTTTTATTTTTTTCCTTTTTCTCCCCAAAGCCCCCCGGTACATAGTTGTATATTCTTCGTTGTGGGTCCCTCTAGTTGTGGCATATGGGACGCCACCTCAGCGTGGCTTGATGAGCAGTGCCATGTCCACGCCCAGGACCGGAACCAACGAAACACTGGCCCGCCTGCAGCGGAGCGCACGAACGCAACCACTCGGCCACGGGGCCAGCCCCGATACTAACACTTTTAAGTGGTGGGAACCAATCTATTCCCTACACAAGAAGTTGTTTGTACAGCTCTTAAGGAGGCTATGAAATGAAAATAAAACAACAGATGTTTCAGATATAGAAAATAGCAAGTAAAATCAGTTTCCAAAATCATGCTCATGACGTCACTGGAATGTTTAGGTTGAATCACCAGAAGGCCAACAAGCATTAACATGAGCCTTGGCTTTTCAAGCAATCAAACGCCTGTGGGCAAGGGATAAAGCCAAATAAAAAGCACGAAGCCTTTTTTCACACAACCTTCTACTTCCCCTTCAAAAGTCTTGAGTCAAACATTTCCTTCAGGAAGGTTTCTATCTACCTATCTCTTCCAGGCAGATTTATAAGTTTCATTTTCTAAACACCTTTCAATTGGAATAGGAAGCATATTGTTTTTCATTTGTATGTATGTCCCCCACCCTCTGAAAACTGTTAGCTCTTTGAAACAAGGACCACGTCTTTTCATTTTGTATGCTAAATTAGGCCTGGCACATTCTAAGTGCTCAACAAGTGTTTGATACTTTTGTGTGTGTGTGGAGGAAGGTTCGCCCTAAGCTAACATCTGTGCCCATCTTCTCCCATTTTGTATGTGGGATGCCACCATAGCATGGCCGGCCAACGAGTGGTGTAGGTCCATGCCCGGGAACTGAATCTGGGCTGCCAAAGCAGAGCTGGCCAAACTTAACCACTAGGCCACAAGGCTGGCCCTGTTTGATACTTTTTTAAGCTAATGCTTATTGAGTGCTTACTGTGTACCAGGCACTGCGGCAAACGTTTTGCATGCATTATCTCATTGGATTCTCAAGAAAAATCTATTATCCTCACTGTGCGTGTGTGTATGTGTGTGTGTGTGAGCAAAGCGAAACCCAGAGCAATTAAAAAATTGCCCAAGGTGGGGCCTGCCTGGTGATGTAGTGATTAAATTCATGTGCTCCACTTCAGCAGCCCAGGGTTCATGGGTTCAGATCCAGCATGGACCTACACACAGTTCATCAAGCCATGCTGTGGTGGCATCCCACATACAACATAGAGGAAGATTGGCACAAATGTTAGCTCAGGGAGAATCTTCCTCACCAAAAAAAAAAAAAAAAATTCCCCAAGGTCCCATTGCTGGTGGCAGAGTTGGGATTTGAACTGAGTACTTTCTGCCTTCAAACTTATAAGCAAGAAGAGAGTATTTTGCATAATACAGCTTCTGATTAATAACCGCTTTCCTAATTCTTTACTCACAAATATAAATGTGCGGAGTGGAGTTTATGGGCTCTGATGCTGCTATTATTAACACCATTTTATAGTTATACATAACTTTAGAATTTTTCAAAGCACTTTCCCATATATTATCTCCCTTGGTTCTCAAAATAACCCAGAGAAGTAGGTGGACATATTTTCATTTTATAGATGAAGAAACTTAGGTACAGAATGGTAAACTGACTTGCCACCCTATGAAGTGGCAAGGCACAAGGTAGAACCTGGGGATCCTGATTCATGTTGCAGAGTGATTTCAACTAGGTCATGCTGTTAGGGTGGGGACTTAAGGAGTTTTTAATTATGCTTCTTACATGGGTTTCAAGAGTGAAGTTTAGGTTAGTAGATGTCAAGATAAGACTCATTTAGCAAATCTGGGTCTCACCCCTTGAACAGGAATTTATAAAGCTCTCAGTTTGGGAAGGCTGTGGTGGGATTTCTCGATGGTTTCTTCTGCCGCCGAGGTATATGATCCTGCTTTTTAGTCCCCATCTCACCCATTACTTTAGGCCCCAATCTGGACACCATTAGGGGATAAGACACAGGACTCTCCAATGTCTGCTCCCTGGTATCTCCAGCCTTAAACTGAAAATACCATATTTACTTATGAAATACTTTGAGAAGACTCAAGTGAATGTCATTAAGATATGTGATGTATGGGCCGCTACCCTTGATCGAGGACATCTTCTTCCTATCCAGAAAAATGCATCTTCAGGAAAAACGGTTCAGATTCACACATGAAACATCTTCCTATCAAGCTCCAGAACTGAAAGCGAACTTGGAGGTCTCCATCTACTCATCTACTTAAAAAGTCATAACAGAGGGCCCAGTCTGGGGGCACAGGGGTTAAGTTTGCACGTTCCGCTTTGGTGGCCTGGGGTTCGCCAGTTCAGATCCCGGGTGCGGACATGGCACCGCTTGGCAGGCCATGCTGTGGTAGGTGTCCCACATATAAAGTAGAGGAAGATGGGCATGGATGTTAGCTCAGGGCCAGTCTTCCTCAGCTAAAAGAGGAGGATTGGTAGCAAATGTTAGCTCAGGACTAATCTTCCGCCAAAAAAAAAAAAAAAAATCATAACAGAAAATGAAACTCTATTCTGAAATAAAAGTTACTTTGTTTAGAACTACACTTCATTTCTGCATTAGGGACATATGAAGCAGAGACAGAGCAGGAAGGAGGACAAAAGGAGAAATGAAGGGATGGGAAGAGACATGGAGAGTCTCATGGAGACCCATAGGAGAAATACAGCCTAGGAAGAAGATCCATCGGAAGAGGCCGAGATAGATAAAGTTACGAGGAAGAAAAAGGCCACAATACAGGAAAATAGAGAGAGATACAGATCCAGAGATGGGGATTCACAAGTGAACAAGAGGAAAAGTGCTGTAAGATGTAGAGAAAGGTAAAGTGAGGTGTACAAAGAGAAAGAAAGTGACAGCCCTTCATGGAACATCGGTCCCTTTAGGCCAGCACCAACAAAAGCCATACTGCATTTGAAGACATACGGCACAAATAAGGAGGCGACTTGCTCTTTAGGAGATCGTGGCCAGGGGAAAGTTAATTGCCCTCCTCTTTTTTCTCCTGAATGTCGCACTCCATAGAAACACTTGGTCGATATGGCCTTGCACTGTTTCTGTATCTGTGTTTCCCCTTTAGACTACATGCCTCTGATAGGCAGGTAGGGCCTGTGGATCCAGAGGCAGCCATGGCATACAGCACCGGGGCTAGGGTTAGAGGACCTGAGTTCCAGTCCTGGCTCTGTGTGACATGGGGAAAACCACTTAGTCTCCCTGTAAAATGGCGGTTCCTCTACCTACTACACAGGTGGTTCTGAGAATGAGATGAGATATTTTAAAAAATACGTGTAAACTATGTGCTGGGCACAGGCAAGGGATAGGATTCTTTATCTTGGTATCTGTGAAGCAGTCTTGCTGTTCAGCTTCTCCATAAGGATGCCCTCGGCCTGGCCTTAGCCAGCTTCCAGACTGCAGCTTCCTCAGTTTCATCCTGGATTATTTGCAAAAGCAGACTGTGAGCCTAAGCAGCACAGTCACACCCCGACCACCTGGCTCCTACAAACAGTGACCACAGCTGCACGCCACAAGGAAGTCTTTGCTCTGGTACACAGTGATAAGGACCCCCATCAATAAAAACCACAATTTACACAAGAACTGATTATATGTGCTTGCCTTGGTGTATTGCTTTCTATTTTTCAAAGTACTTTCACTTACACATTTCTTTTGCTGTAAATGCAAACATTTGCTTGTTTGCAGGTGGTCACACCTAACTCAGAGTAGTGTGAGTTCTACACTCAAGTTTAAAAAGATCTTCAAGGGTGTTGAACTATTAAGGAAATTACCTTTGAAATGAGCTGGCAGCAGCAAATCATTGTGAACAAATTCAGCTGCCTTCCTAAATTATCAGATCAATAATTTTCACTGTCTTCATGTCTCATAAGTAATTCAATAAAAAGTTTATTCTGCTTCTTCTACTTAACTAAACTCAGATGATTTTTTTTTCAGTTTTCTTATCATAAAATATGCTAAAAAGTAAAACATGCCCAGTATGGAAAATAATCATCACAAATAATGCCATCACTGAGAGATATTACTCTCAGATATTAACATTTTGGTAAAATTCTTCCCAGTCCTCTCTATACACATTTATTATATATTTGAT